TAAACAAAAACAAACTACTGTTAGCCAATAAAAAAATGCTAAAATGTTTACACGCCGTTTACACTGGCCATCATCCCAGTGACACTTCAAAACGATCCAAACTCTTTTTTAATCTTATTAAAACCTGTAGGGTGCAGCTGCTATTCAATGCTAGTCATTAACATTTATGGCAGGATTGTTGACTCATTTAATGAGCTAAAGAGTTAAACACACTAGAGGAGCAGGTAAGCTTTCCAAACTTAAAATATAGGACAACTCCTCAGGTCAAATAACAAAAAATGCAAATGTTAACTACATCATCATCATCTATGAAAACACTGGGGAACTCTGAATGGCACAACAGTGCTTTGTAAACAGAAGACATCATTTCCTATTAGTGGCAACTGATTAGATGATAAGTAGAGCTGTTCCATCACATAAATACTTATCAATAAAGAGATACACCAGCAGATAGTGCTAGGAACTGATGTTAAAAACTCCTTACTCGGAGGTTCAACAGTACAAGTTGAATCCTGAATCTGAGAGCTCTCTGGAATGTGAGCTATTCCCTTTCACCCGAGACTCACCTGCTGTCTCGCCATATTGTCTGGAGAACCCCTCACACAGATACTGTACACACATACGCTGACACTCTCACAGTGTGCACTCCCACACACAGAAAACACTGACAAGAAATGATTCCCCAAACCACACGGGACAAAGTTTAGAGGAAAACTCTAAAAGGAGTCAAAAGCAGAGACTTACCTTACGGTGTCCTCTTTGATTCCAGCTCAAGCCTTCTCCAGATGGGAGCCTGAGCAGCACAAAGCCCCCTCCCTCAGCTGGCGGATGGGGGCATAGTCCACCAGTGGAGGGCTGACAGTCACAGCAAGTCCGGGGCAGGAGGCACAACAGTTAAGAAGAGTGTGTGAGCTACTCCAAGAGAGTAAATAAGTCCCAGGTGCTGCTAGAGTGACGGTCTGACAGGTACACACAGACGGGACGGACACAAACAAAAGACAAAAAGGGTGCAAAAGAAGCAGAGATGCCTCTGTGTGCTGTTTCTGTGTGAATCAGAGTGTTTATGTGAAGAGTAGGAGGAGAGTCAAGAGGAGGAGGAGGCTCCACGCTTGCTCACTCAGGCAGCTGGTTTTTCAGGTCCTTCCGCCTGTCCCTTAGGCATGCCGCGGCCACTGATCAAAAAGCATTGGCTCCTCTTCAAAATTGTCCGCTCTGCTCGGCTCTCACCATGACTACTGCCTCTCAAAATCAAACTGGCTGCATCACACAGGAACTGCAGAGGGTGAGGCGCTGTGAGATTTGTCAAGAAAGATGAAAATAACCCAAAATAACATTTCATATATTAAAAGCATTGTTACTTGAATTTTTTTTATATTCTTATATATTGAGTGCATTTTCTTATATTGTGTGCATGCATATACTGAAAATTGTATTCAGGCATGTGAGTGTGTCTTTCAATCTAATCATTATCCCTTATTTGGGTATTAAGACTGCATGTGTGTGCACGCTTTTGCGAGTGTGAAGACAAAGTATGTGACTTCAAAGTTATCATAAATCCATTCATCCTTGCACGAACATGCTTCATGTATGTAGTTGAAAATTAACTGAATTACACTACTTGTCCAAAGGGTACTGGGTGTGTTTGTACAGAAGAAAAGACATGCAACAGTGTTGCCTCTTCTTGTTCTCAAAGGTCAGGACAATGAGTTCCATTGAAGCACTTGGCAACATTTGTTAGGAAGTTTTATACTGAACAGGAAAACATTTTTATTGGCATAATCTTCCTGTAACTGTCTGTTTCACACTTAATGTAGCACACAAGCTCCTGTAACACATCCCTCGTCGTAGTCTTTCCCAAAACGGTGCCAATAAGTCGTCAGGATCTCGCCTCGTGTTACCTCCAGGGCTAGGTGGTGCCTCCGACTATAAAGCAAGTCAGTGTTGGGCCTTTGTGAGGAAGTGTAACGAAACTTCATTTGGAAGACACTATTGTTCAGCTTCACCTGATGGCCTGAATACTTTCATACAACGTGTCCCTGTGACCTTAATTGAGCTTCTGGTGAAGGGACATTACAAAAGTCTGAAAGCTCCAGTTTCACAGAGCATTCCCATGCATTGTCTTGGTTTCAGTCAAAAGTGTAGATACCATGTGGGAAAAATGTGTTTAAATCAGCCTGCACATTGAGGATCAGGCTACATATCTAAAGCTCACAAAATGATTTATATTAATGTGATTTATTTATCGTTTTTTTAATGCCGTTTACAATTTGCAAGTGGAATTTAATTTTGTATTTGTTCATTTTATAATGAAAATCTAGGGTTACGGTTTAAAGCAAAAGAACAATAACATTGTGCAATACAATATGAGATATAAAGTTTGTATCTGAGTTACTATAAAATGCTCAATTATTGTGAATAGCTTATGAACTGATGAATAAAATGTGACTTACTACCCTTTCAGTCTTAGAGCTTCAATACAATTGTTATCAAAGCCCATTTGCTAAAGTTAACATGCTAACTACGTCCATGCTGCTAGCATGTTTATGCTAAGCAGGTTTAGCCTAGCGTGTTAGCATGCTAACATGTGCTAAGTCCTAAACTATCGTATTGGACAAATAAAAATGGACAAAAACAACCTTAAAGGTAGGGTAGGTAATTCACTTCAGAAACACTTTTTGTTATATTCCATGGAATGCTCTTAACATCCCGATAGCAATGAATACATTAAATGCTTTGACAATAAATATATACAAATATTTCATCTGTGGAAGCCGTGGCGCTGTAAAAAGCAAGTCCAATTATCTGCCTCGGCCTGCGGCAGATAATTGGATGGCCTACCTGCCTGTCAGCCTTCTCCTTCCATCTCGTGCACAAAATTATCTCGTGCCCTCATTGGTCATGTGCTCGTTTGTGTGTGTTGGAGGAGGGGCTCTGTAAGGAAGTCTGAAGGACGGAGCAGATTTTTTTCGGATGTGTACTTTCAAATTCTAGCTTACTCGAACTGGTTTGTCCATTCTTACCTACCCTACCTTTAAGGGATGACTTACCTTGTTATAATGTATTCTCTTATGACGACGGATATCTATTACTTACCAAATGTTATTAATGACCATGCATTTAATCGTTGAGGTATTTCATATGGCCCAAAGTTGTAGATTGACCAACAGACAGACGATGCCATCTCTGATCCAAGCTATAGCCCGGCTAAACATTCACCAATATGTCATATTTTTCTATCAATCACAAACATTACATTCTCATTGTAATCCTTTGACGAGTTCTCTCACATAAACTGAAGTTATTTTTCTGTATTTTTCCTAACAATTTAAGGCAGCAGTTTAACAGGGCAGGCAATCTCTTCCTGAGGGAGATTCAAGTGTTTACACTAACTGTACTTATCAACATTTGATTGCATTAGGGGACTTTGATTTAAAAGCTGAAGTAAATGTTTAAATTCAGTCAGGATAAACTCATTACACAAAACTTGTTTACTCCACTATGTGTGCTTAAGGAGCCATTTTACTAAAAACTCATGTGCCAACCATAGGTGTCTTATGATGACTAATGCCTCACTTAAGATTCCTGAATGGAGCCACTGAGACGAATGCTGACTAATCAGGGAAGGTACCTTCAAAGGAATCTGGAGGCACTGGTCCCGTTAATACCCACCGGGCCACATGATCCGTTCCTCCTAGTGCACATGCATCTTCACGTTCAACAGTAAGGGTCATTGTGAAGAAAAGTTTCCCACCCCCAGCATCATGAGGGTGCTTTTTGTGCTGTGAAAGGAGCGTAGAGGGCAGCAGAGATATCCTTTATCCCACAGCTGTTGATCAGCTCTTTCTAAAATACAGACAGTCTGCTAAATTTGACCTTTGAACTGTTAGTCAGCAGTAACACAGGTATAATGTAAGACAATGGATCTTCTGCATACCTGCTTCTTAATGTTACATAGTGGCCATGTCAGGAAACACATTTTTTAAACTGGGTCTGTAACAAAAGATGTAGAAACATATATATTTTGTTCAACCAGTTTTTGCAAAACATGCTTTAAGCTGAGACTGTGCCATTGTTTTCGCTTTGTTGCCTTTTTCCCCTTCATGTAATAATGAAGTAGTTTGTCAGTGAGAAATGGATGAGAGACATCTATTGTCATGAGCAGCCAGTCATCTGTCTTCATGGCTGACACGAGGAAACGGCAGCTGTGAAATTCAATAGGTTGTTGAACTTTAGGTCATGGCTGTATTGCCATATCTTACCTTTCATGTAATACATTTCATATCCAGTATTGCTTACTGGAAGAATCATTAACTCAACCTTGCTGTCAGTGTCTTTCTACCATTGAAACAAGGCCCTGACCATACACATTATTAACTGTTGTAATGTCCTTGGGGAAATATGAGGTGCAAGGTGCAAGTGACAGGACCACTTTTGTACCATTCTAGCATAAAATAGAATTTAAATGCATGTCACAGCTGTAATGAAGTGTATTTTATTTCATAACCTTGTATGGGAGTCAAGCCAATACCAATGGGACTCAGACTGTTTGATTCATGAATTCTGTAATCTCTTGAATAGAAAAGCAAATCAATTGAGAAAAAACAAGTGATGAGTGGAGAACAATATCGCATGTTCCTGAGCGATGATGGACGGGTATAAGGTAATTATAAAAGTTTATATTTGCATGATTTGGCAATCCATAGCCCCACTTGGTGTCTAACATGTTTTTATCATCACTTTTAGGTCACAGAGCCAGGCAACTGTTTTCCTGCTAGATCTGTTAACACAAAACCCTCCAGCTATTAAAGTGATATTTTAATCTCTTAACACTATTTCATTTATCTAGATAAATATTGTTCAAAATATATTTCACTTAAAATATTTTCAATTTTAATCTTCTTTTCCAAGTTGCAATATCGTTTTATAGAGCAAATTATATGGTAGAAGGAAGCGAGATATTTTTGCTTATTTTATAAAAAACAGGACATTTAAAAGCATTGTTTTGTAAGAACATATTTAATACTGGAAAATAACATTTAGTAATTCAATGATTTACCTCTCCAAAAAAAGGATGCTTACTGTCGCTCTGTAATTTGAATGTAATGACAATTTGAAATGCACAAACAAGCAATAGTGCTAAAAGAGTGTTTTTATCAGATAAATATGCAATGTGAAGATGATGTGTAAGAAATCCGTGCTATGTTTTTTAGCCTACATTGAACATTTTGTTTGAGATTCTGTGTGGCCCCTAAAGTAAAAACAAAACCTAAAATGAACAACTCTAAACATGGCTTTTAAGAATAAGTCTTTATGTATTTCTCTATGTGAAACAAATGGCCATTATACTACACAAATAGAAGCGGATACTGAGATACAGAGACAGAGACCATCTCTGAGAAATAAGTACAGAACATGAAAATACACATACCGGTATTATAGAACTGTAAATTATTGCTTGTTTTGCTACTTTGTTTTCTGGATTTCTACAATACGAGACACAATATTCATATTTCAACAGAAACAGTACAACAGTGACAAACGGTATTATTGACCTTTTTAGTAGACGTTCCCCAGAAATTAAAGAAACATTCAAACAGAGTCCATGTTGAACACAACACAATGACAGTTGGTTTTTGATCGCGCATCTTCAGGACTTATTACAAATTTTTGTATATTTTTTTTACATTACAACATTGCCAAGAGAAGCCGTAACAAACTGCACACTGGGACTGGCCTCAGCAACAAAAAAACACTTGGCATATTTACATTAATATACAATTTCATTTCAACTGTGACCAAAATGCACCGGTTTTAAACACCATGACCACGAGAGTAAAAAAATCTTCATGAGTGTCTTCCTCCTGCTCCGCTGCTTCCTCTTTACCATAATGCACCTCAGTAGTTCCACCAATCTTCTGTCTGCTTACATAACTGTGACAGCTTTACTGTAGTGCCTTTAAAACTGCACTCTGCCAACATTTTAAACAACTGTTGAACTTTCTCAGCAGATAAAATGAATGTTCCTTGCAGACAAACACCAAAAACAAAGACATTGATTTTGCTCTGCGGTGTTATCCTGTCTCATTTAAAACCTTTAACTTCAACTTTTTAGTGGTTCACTTCCAAAGATCCAAAAGAAGGCTTGAAATTCTCCAAGGTTCACACTAGCAAAAGGAAGTGGAGTGTTTCTCTCACTGCAATATGCTGGTGAAAAGGCTAACCAGGTGTTCAGCTTGAGATAAACAAAACAAATAAAGAAACGAAACAGAGAAGAAATGCAATGTGCTTCCTACTTTGTCTAGAGAAGGACTACTTTATGTGAAGGAAACAAACAAAACGGTGACAATAAAGTGCCCACATGCAGATGGGTTTTTCAATTTGCTTACTGCTATTGTTACGTAGCAAAAAAGTATTTTTAGATTTCAAATGACAAAGAAGGTTTAGACTCACCGCTGACACTCAAAAGCCCTGTCGGGAACATTTGTTCATGCTGTTTCATAAGCTCTGAAATATTGTATTCCATATTGTATCATTAAAATGATACAGGATTATGGGGAGAATTAATTTAAAAAAGGGAAAACATTTGGTTTGGAGACTGTCCACTGAACTAGATACTTATGAAATAAAACATGATGGATAAAAAGGATTGGGAAATATGATTCCTTTCTACTCACTTGTTTATGGGGTGAGTGAATGCTTTGGTTGATATTTCATCAGGCTACCTAATTTCCCTTTTTTTCAGCAAAATGCTTTGAAACAAAAAATTCTTAAAGGAATATTCCACAGACCTACTGTTCAGCTATTTACAGCGGGAAACAGCGCAGTATTTGGTGCGAGAGACGGTCAAAAGCCTCGCAACTGCTTGGAGATATCTAGAGATACTCAGTGCAAAACAAGCAGTCGTAGGTTTCAGAAGAAAACCTGACACATAGAAATTGGGTTTGATCAAACAGCATGACATTAGAGATGTGAGCTACAACAAACAGAATCAGAAAAAAAAAATCCACATCCCAAACCTCTTGAAGAAAAATGAGGGGGATGAACTGTCTCTGATCCATCAAATCCCAACAAAAGCGACAAATGCACATTTGCCAAAAGTGTCAATCACCATTCGGCTTTTTTTCCCCCTAAGACGTCACTTTTAAACTCTGCGCGGGGATATGCACTTGCGTCAAAAGCTTCACACTGTTTTCCTGTCATCACAAACAACAATAAAAAAACACCTCAGCTCCTCATCTACGGAATTAACTAAGCATGCAAAAAGTGTTGGGGTATCAAATACATAGTAAGAATACACATCTAGTAGTTCAGCAAAAGACAACACCTCTCCAAATAAAAAAGACAATAAGCAAAAAACGAGCAACAAAAAAGAAAGAAAGTCAAACAGCCACCACAACTTTGTTAGTCACACATGTCGCTTCGTGCTGTGTGTGATGTTCAACAGGTTCCTTTTTCTTGATATATCTCGTTAGTATTTGTGTTTCTGTACGTATTTTTTGTAATACAGTATATACATGCAGACAAGAGCGGGAACATCACACACTCAATCTTGATGCAAGTTGAAGCGACAAACCAGCAGATATGAAAATGAAAAAGAAGAAAAAAATAGTAGTATATTTGTTAATCTGAAACACAATTTATCGTAAAAAAGAAAAAATATGTCTTTGTTTAACCAAAGACTATTGTAGACACACGACTGTGAGACGAAGGGATAGGTAAAAGCTAACAAGCTAACTAACTAGCAAGCTACTGAGCAGGACTAGCAATGAGAGCTGAGAGTGTGTGATAAGTGACAGGTGCCTGCGTTGGGACAGGTATGCCCGCCCCTCTTGCTGAAAACGAGGGGGGGTTTGTGGGGTGGAGGCAAAAGTGCCCGCCGCTCCCCACGCTGTCCGCAGAATGTGATGAGTGTGTGTGTGATTCTCATCCATCCCCTTCAAGCCGCCTCATTCCATCGCCACGCTCCCCACAAACACCGTCTTCGAGCAATGTCTGTTGGTTTGTTTTTAACTTGTAGTTGAACTGAAATGAGGGGCATCGACGCTCTCTGTGAGTGCAGAGACGAGAGAGAGAGGGCAGGTGTGTTGCGGGTTTAAAGGGCGGTCGGGGGCCGCGCCCGGTGTCGGGGGGAGGCCTCTCTAGTTGAAGACTTTGGGGGGTTCATCTGGACGTCTGGTCTGGACAATCTGCTGCTTTGGCCGCGCCGCCTCGTCCTCCTCCGTCTCGCTCTCGCACACGTGGACCACCACGCTGGGGGTGGACTCTGTCCCGGCGTGGAGCTCGTACTTTTCACCTGGAAGAGAGGAAGAGTAGAAGAAGGGGATACAATAAAATGATACATTCAATTCATTTGTGACAATGACATTTGTGAAGAACTGAACTTATTGTCTTCAATTGTCATGATATCTTTTTTTATTTCTTCTTGCTTTTATTTATATTCTGGTATAAGTAAGTCCTTCACTCTTTCTCTTTTCTTTCTTCTGTCTGGCAGGTTCAGGGTTTTTGTTGTTGTGTCATTTGGTTTTATGGATTTGGAGTTCAACAAACTAAAAAGAACACCTTATAAAACAAACATTGCTGGCCCTCCACTGGGGTCGAATAGGTTACACCCATAGACCTTAATCTATGAATTCTAGAAAAAACGTAAATGAAAATAGTGCAATGAAACAGAGTACGATACATTTGAATAAAATAGTGCATGTGAAAGAACATAATCATAATATCAACAAAGCCAAATTTAAATAGATAAATAAATAAGAGAACTAAGCAGACCTCGACATCTTATCTTAATTGTTTTAAACAAATTATTTATTTCATCATTATTGGTAGGGAGATCAACGCTTAAGCAGCTCTGGTTGAAATACCATGCTTGTGAGTTTCATAATTATTTTTATTGTTACTTTTTATAACACCCTGAGGTTGTTTCTACAGCACAAAACGATCTACAGTTTGTCTTTCCAGTGCATCGAAGCATTCGGGATCAGGTCAGCACATGGTTTCAAAGCCACTTGCTAGATTGTATCACAGTTGCCATGGAAATTAGATCAGACAGCTGGCAGACAGGAGGAAATTGGTCTACTGGCGTTTTCAATGTGGTGCCAAACAGAAGGACGGAGCGTGAATAGAGTCCTGCTGTTACCGCGGGGACCTGACAGGGGGAGGCAGCGCGCCGTGCTGCTGCCCAACGCTAATCTGATCTCAGATGCCAGGATGTGAGGCGTGGAACAAAGCCATTTCCTGATTCCTCGTGTTGCTATGGTAACAGCAGAAAGTGGCCAAAGTGATCCTCTGAGCTGGACACTCTGTGTGTGTGTGTGTGTGTGTGTGTGTGTGTGGGAAGTTTAATCATGCTTTTGTTGATGATAAAAAAGATAATAGTGTTCAAATAAATACTGACTAGAAGTGATGTTTCCCAGCTCGACGTGCAGTTATGCTGAGATGGAAGGAAGCTGCCCCACCCATTCTCTCAATGATTGGAGGAAATAATGTTGTGCCTAAATAAATTTAAAAAACGGTGCTATGCTGCGGTGGATTTGGTAAAAAATGTAAAGAGATTTGGAGGCCCTCTGAGACATATCTTCAGGGCTCTCAAGGGGTATGAGTATGCTGTGTTTGTAACTGACCTCTTATACATAACCCCAATATTACGAAACATTTTATTAAGCTGATACTATTGCTATTATTAATATTATTATGGTTAGCTTATTGGCTTCCCTGGGATAAAATTGTCTTGGAGAAAGGGAAATTGCTGCTTCAAGACCAGACATCCCAATAATACACACTGAATAAAAACAGATGTGCAAACCTCAGCCTGAAATAGAAAACAACCAGAAGATAAATCGCACTAACTCTGTTAAGAGCTAAATACATTCAAGGGATATATATTAAAACATACAGACTTTCATACATAGACTCCACCAAAATGACATTTCTAAGTTGAAAAAAAAGTTGATGTTTGCTTGAACCTGCATTTTCAAATGTATTTTCTCCTCTTCCTTATGCCATATTTATTCTCATACTCACTGTAACCACCATCTTCTTTAGACAGTGTGTGTACAAGTTATTGTATGTGTTATGACCAGTAAGGTTAGTTGGGAGTGGAAGTTAGTTTATCCCTGATATATGCCCAAACATATACAATATAAAATACTGTTGGGTTGAAAATTAAATCAAATATTTTTGGGAAAAGGATGTAAAAGTAAAAAGCTAGGTTTTCCACTTCACCGGCATGAGCATACCCACTGACACAAACATGGAGACATTGTGGATGTGCCACACATTTCCCTGTGTTAGGTGACATTTTAGAAAGGTTGCTGCAATCTAAAATCTAGTCCGCGAGGCAGACAGAGAAATTATTATTTCTGAGCGTAGAAGCTGATTAGGAGCGAGACTGCTGGGAGAGCGAATGTTACTGTGCTGAGCTATACTGGATAAAACTGTAAAAGTATGGGAACTGCAAAAATATATATTGGTGGTGCAGTGATTCTGAGCTACAGTAATATCATTACATCAGTTTGTTGTGAAGTATTTGTCTGAATTTTACGATTTTTTAATTGATCATTTTCAAGGGACTTTGCCACACTTAAAAATACACAATTCAGAGTTATAATTATTTTAGATTTATCACATAGAACTCTTAGTAATTTCTGAAACTGGGGTTTGTTTACCTAGCCACTTTCAGGTCATCTATTAGCTACAGATGGCTAATTTAACTAAAATAAATTCTGTCGGTTGGTATATAGTACTGTCTCTAACTGACTACTTCGGCACGGCAGTGGCTCAGTCAGTAGGGGCTTGGACTGTGAGCCGTAGGGTCGCCGGTTCAAGTCCCTGAACAGACCTAAATATGGAGTGTGGACTGCTACTTGGAGAGGTCCCAGTTCACCTCTTGGGCCCTGCCGTGGTGCCCTTGAGCAAGGCACCGGACAACCCCATTGCTCCCCGGGCGCTGTACAATAGCTGCCCACTGCTCCTAGTACTAGACTCCTGGTACTAGGATGGGTTAAATGCAGAGGTCACATTTCACTGTGTTTGCTGTGTGCTCTGCACATGACCATTAAAACCCTTAAAGACTGAGCGAGCCGCCTGCGGCTTCAAAGAGGTAGCGTTCTAAAATGCTTAATAACTTTCTAACCGCTAATCCTATCCATCTGATTAAAAAAGTGAGGTAAAGCGGCTATTCTAGGCTTTTCGCTGGTATCACTATGTCCTTTTCCGGGATTCAGAGGCTCCGACGTGATCGGGGCAATGTCATCACATTGTACAGCCTTGATTCGTCAAGGGCCCGCCGTCTGAGCCAAACAGCAAAGGTTTTAGACTAAGTCCCACCCCCCTGTGTCCGGATAGGTTTAAAATGTAAAGGTCCAGGCAAACCTCTGCCCATGCTACCATCTTCTCGACCAATCAACATAGGTTGCTGTGTATGTTTTTGGCGGCGGGAGATAAACAAAGAGAAACAGAGAGACGAGAGAGTAATACTAAAGAAGAGTAATTTTGCCAGCGTAAGAGAAATAAATACAACACGAGATATCCACACACACACACACACACACACACACCAAGAGAAATTCAAACCAACATGTCAAAACGGTGTTACACTACGGAAGAAACCGTAGAATGTATTTTGTCTGGCGGACCGCTTAGCGATGCAGCGGTGCATACCTCAGATTCTGAAGATGACAACTGGCAATGAAGAGGAGTATGATCACGGGATTGATCCCTTCGAAGATAAAAAGTGAGTAACTTTGCTTATTTCTTATTGTTTGTGTTGCATTTATCGGTTGCTGTTTCTGTATAACGCCGAAAATAATTAGTCCTACGAGTTTTTATAATGGATGGCCATTTGCCGTAATTGTGTCATAAAGTGAAGTCCTGAGCTCAAGATTCACTATCAATAGAGGCTACTATTTATTTCAGTAAAAAAACGTCAAGCAATACCTTTCATTTATTCCGCTTGCCCTCTTTGGTTGTTTGTTATAAGGTCTAATGTTATTATATTCATTGCATTACAATTCAGTTACTGATTCCATCAACTAGTAATGTTAGCAGAGGGATAAAGTGTGAATCAAATCAAAAGTTGAGACTGTGTTTAGAAAACAGATAGGATGACACTGGAGAAATAAAAGCAATAAAGGAAATAAAATAAATTCAGACATTTATATCTGTATATTTTCCTCCCTTTTATTTTAGTCCAGAGGATGAGAGAGGGGATGCACAAGCCACTGTCCCCATCAGTAGGCCTCCTTCAAACCGGGAGGGAAAAGAATGTGGCCAGGAGGGTGGAGCATCCAGAAAAAAGGCCAAACCAATGCCAGCCCCCCTGACAGTGAAAGGGAGAGGAAGAGGGAAAGGGAAAAAAAACATCTCTGACCCCAGAAGAGCCAGGAGCTGTTGGTGCCAGATACTGCCCAACAACTACCACACTTTTGCCCGAAAAGAGCCCCTGGAGTCCAAGGTTTTGTTGGTGTGGAGTATACTCCTGCACAAATATTTAGACATTTTTTTAACAACCAAGCTGTAAATATCATCTGCAAGAACACAAACAAAAATGCTGAAAAGGAGCAGGCTAAGGGGGAAAAGTTTGTTTGGGAAAGCCGGTACAATTCCTCATGTATGTCGGGTCGGCCTTATGGCACTTCTAAAACTGCTCAAAGTAAGAGACTACTGGAGGAAGGGATCACACCTGAGTGTTCTCTTTCCTGCTTCTGTCATGACAAGAGACAGGTTCATGGCAATCAGCAGAGCTGTACATCTGAGCGACCCAGACCATGATGAATGTTGATACATTTCCTTTGCTCTTTCTATATTTTTCTAATATTTTGTTTATAGTTTGAAGATCATTTGCTCTTTGTACATTTGCACTTTCTATATATTTCTAATAATTTGTTTATAGTTTCAAGATAATTTGCACTTTCTATATATTTCTAACACTTAATGTATAGGTTCAAGATCATTTGCACTTTCTATATATTCCTAATACTTTGTTTATAGTTTCAATATAATTTGCACTTTGAATTTGTTTCACTGTTTATGTTTGTATTTAAATGTTCAAATGATAATATATTTCTCTGAAACAAGTTATTTTTGTTGCAATGTCATCTGTTACGGTTTAATTGTTTACTCTCTCAACCTTTTTTTGACAGAAGAAACATGATCAGTCATTTAAATTTGGAAATACATTTCGTTTTAATTATTCCATATTATCCTAGGCGTTTTTCAGTACAAAACGCCTAGGATAATATTGTAATAAATAGCTGTAACTTGCTCAGGGAACATAATATGCAGATTACATTT